GCACTGACAATCCACTTTTCAACCTGATGCTATATCTGCACTACTTTTTACTGCAACTACCTCTTTACCCATCTGCACGCCCATTCTTGAACTATTTTATACTGATTTTTTTTTTATATAATGGAAACAGATCTTTGTATATATAGAACATAGCCTAGGTATTATCTCTTTGAATCTTTTTCATTTTGTAAAAAGTTTTGATTGTTTTATTGTGAGTTTACCATTTTTTTTCCAGATCAATCTCAGGAATTAAAGGATGCGAACAGAAAGTTGTCTTGCAGCCGAATGAGAACTACCTGTTTTACATCAAAGCAGTGAATGATGCTGGTGCCAGTGAACAGAGTGAGGCTACACTTGTCTCTACAAAAGGTGCAAACAAATCCAGCCCCATTTCAAAATCTATGTAGTTATTTCTGGATATTTTATGTTTATGTATTGCTCTGATGTCTGGTACTTCTTTAGGGACGAGATTCCAACTCCTGAAATCCTCAGCTCACCCCACTCTGACGCTGTCAGATGATAACACCACACTGCAGTATTCCCAGGATGCTCAAAATACCAGCCCATCTGCAAAAAAGGAGTATGTTTAAACCAGAGATAGCATCTTTCTGTGGCCTGTTGGAAGATTTAAGCCAGAGCTCGTTTGTTTTACAGATGCCCATCCATCCTGGGTGAGTTGCTGCCTTCACGAGGACTCCACTACTGGGAGGCAATTGTTGTAGAAAGTCCAGCTTACAGGCTTGGAGTAATGTGCAGTGCAGATAATCTCAACGGATCACTTGGGGAAGACAGCTCCTCATGGTGCTTGCAGTGTACTCATGGACCCTCAGGGTGTGCAAAGGACTATAATAATTCATTTTCAGTTTTTTCTTTATATAATTTGAGTCTAAAACCTCCATCTTCCTGTCTTTGTCCAGCTGTAGGTATCTGCTACTGCACAATGGCGTTCAGTCCTCTGTTTTTGTGACTGAGACACCTGAGAGAGTTGGAACCTTGTTGGATCACCAACTGGGCTGTCTGTCTTTTTACAATGCCAGTAGCGGCCAGTTGTTGGGTTCCTTCACCCAGCGCTTCAGCCAGCCCTGCTACCCTGCTCTGGCCCTGGAGCAGCCAGGCAGCCTGCAGGTTTGGATGGTGCCAGAGTTGCCAGAGTTTACAAAGCACAGCAAGCGCTGACATTTCCTCACTTACTGGGAGGTTCACAAAAAAGAAAACATAAACAACTGTTGGTTTTGTTTTATCTGACATTGTAATAAATAAATCAACCTCAAGAATAATGTTAGAAACCTGATCATAAAAGTGGGGTTTTATCAAACTGCTGTTTCTGTGAAAAAAGACTAAATGTGTTTTGTTTTTTTTATGACAGAAATCACACCAGGTCACAGAAATGGTGGCTTATCCATGAGGTATGGCAAAAACACGCCTTCATAGCCATTAAAGATTTTAAATTAGGTCTGATCACAATCAACTAATAAAATTAATGATTCACATTCTGAAAAACAAACTGCAAACCACCTTCACCACGCAAATCGTCCTTCTTGCACGTATAGATCAGTGTGTGCAATGCAACATAAGGCTAGCAGTTGGGGAGAGGCGCACACCTCCAAATTGCACATATATAGGTTGCTAAGTGACCAACTTTTTCACAATGTAGTTCAAATTCAAAATGTATTTCTTGTGCCCCTAACGGGGCATTATATTCAACAGGTGAACGAGGGTGAAGAAAAAGTTCAATTATCAGATCTTAGTGAGTTTAAAAAAAATTATAATTATACTATACTTGGAGCAGAACACGAAAAAATAAACCTTCAGGATTGAGAAGCTTGCTGCGATCAAATCACACTGATAAGCAGAAAGCCGATAGACATTATATATATGACCGTAGTTCCCTGTAGCTGCAGTAACTGCATACAATTATTTAATAACAATATCCTTTGCGGTGTGCTATGTGCAATAGAAACCAACATCTACATGATTTACGTAAATGCTGCTGATAAACCAATAAAATTATCGACCATTCCTCCTCAGGAGTAAGAGTCAGACCTCTGGTGGAGGTGCAAAGACCTCCCCTTATTATAGGTTCATTTAGCAGATTAGGATAAAACTTTTGGCAGATGTTACAACCGTGGTGAAATATCACTGTCATAAACAAGAGTTTTCCTTCTCACTGACATGATATTCCCCAATTTAGCTGTAATTCAGCAAATTTATTGCCTTGGAGATTCTGAAAACAGTAAGGTGGTCTTAATCATTTGTGAGGGTCATCTGAAAAAAGAACATATGATTGTTACCAAACTGTTTTTTTTTTTTTGTTTGTTTTGTAATAACTGATCTATATTGTGGTTAAAGCTTTGTGCTGTTTTTAAAATACTGTCTTTTTTTGTTGCATATATGCTTTAGAAGTCATCTAAAATAAAAGGAAGTCAAACTTTTTTTTTATCTTCCTACACAACAATTAGTTCATGCCTTTTCTCTTAGTGTGATGTGGGTTTATACCTCCAAGATGACTGTTGCACCTTTTAAACTGTTTCATACTGTGAATAAGTTTTTTTTCTTCTTGTAAATAACATTTTTAAACAGAATTTATCTCTTCTTGGTGTTATTGTGTGTTACAGACACTTGTTTTTGTTATATTTTTAAATAACTTCCTTTTCTGAACAATTTGATTATTTCCTTCTGACAAAGTTTAGTTGTTTTAACATATTTTCACCGCTAGAGGGCCTATGCACTCCAGCTGCTGTGATGCTGTCTTTCCTGTACAGTTTTACTGGAAATGTTCTGCAAAAAAGTAAACAATAAAATCAGGCCTTAATCATCTCTAAACCAGTCTGCCACTGGGTTTGTAGGTATTGCTATTTTTAAATTGTTTCCTATTTTTATGAAAAGGGAGCATTATGCATATGACGATGGATTTATTCTACAAATTCAAACTCTTTTAATAATAACATAAATGTGTTTTGAAGATAACTTTCCAGTACAACCCACTGTTGTCTTCCAAGTTATGAACTTTCCCCATGAACACACCTTTCACTTAGAAAGCAACTCTTTTCCAGGCACTCATAGTTTTTCTCAGAAGGGATGGAGAAAGTGGGACGGAGAGAAGGACACACATGCAACCCATCAGGGATACTTACTGGTCTTCATAAGTTGGACCGCTCTGCAGCAGCCTGAAGGAAATCTTAATGATAAACTGCTGCATGACTTTTTTTTTTTTAATTAAGCTTTTTCTGTCTTCCTGTTGGTGGATAGAGTAATTTACTGTTAGAGATAAACAAATAAATACATGCAGTCTGTCTGGGAAAGATTACCACCTACTTCTGTTTCTTGTTCTTCAAAAAAAAAAAAAATGTAGCACTGGAAATTGATTACAGCTTTTCTCATCATTTAGAGTTCCCCCTAACAGCAACCATGTGCAATGTGCAGAATAGTGCCATTTAAAACACCTTCATTAGTCTTAAAGAGAAATTAGATTTCTAGTCCCTTAACTTTTCTCAGTTTAGTCACAAACTCCAGCATATTCTAGATTAATTTTACACAAAAAGTGAAGATGAAGCAAAGTGACGCTTGTGGGTTCCAACCTTTTTTACAGATGGCATCTAATTATCAGCCTTTCTAAATGTTGACTCTGCTACATAAAATCCAGTACAGACCACAGAACATAGATGAGTCCAGAAAGTAGCTGAAATAAAAATTATGTTATAAAACATTTCAGCTTTGAACATCTCATGAAACGCTGCCCACCACATCATCTGGAAATAGAGACGATGGGGAACATCTGCAAATCTTCTAGGCATAGCCATCCCATGAAACTGTTAGACTGGGCCAGGAGGGAAATAATCAGAGGAGCGGTAACTTCTACAAAACAAAAACTCAGATAACAGAATCTGTTGGAAGTCAAATTTGTGCTTATGCATTTGGTACTTGGTACAAACAGTGTTTGGTTTGCCCGATTGCTAATTGCTAATGATGAGGAAGGCCCTCTTGTGAGATTGTTGCAAATCGCTCTGAATAGAATGTCCCCACACTGAAACTGATGGTGGCAACATCATGCAGTGAGTGCTCTTCATGACCAGAGGCAAGATGACAGGTCAGATTTGATAAGACTGAGAGAAAACCAGTTGGAAACTCCAAAGACCTTGAGAAGTTTACCTTTCAGTAGGATAAAGATTGTATACATATAACCAGAGATTTGATCAAATGGTTCATATTAAGGTACACCAATGGAGGAAAATGGTAGTCAAAATCCAGACCTAAATCCTGAAATAAATAAAAACTGAGGAACTTTATGATTAAAGTTCACAAATATCCTCTGACCAATCTGACTGAGCTTCAGCTATTTTGCAAAGAAGAATGTGCTGGTAAAGATTCTCAGCCATTCCAAAAAAGTAAAAAAACAAAAAAAAACTTTGTTTTCTAAGATGTTTCACTTCCCATCGAAGAGCCTTTTGAACTGAAAAAGCTTCCAGGATCGGAAGATAAACGTCTTGTTAACTTCTTTGGAAAAGAGGAATGAGCAGTTTATGTTCAAAGCTAATTGGCTGTTTTTTATAACCCAGTTTTTAGCTTTTTATTGTAAAACATGTTGAAACTACGGTTAATTTTCTTTCTGTCTGTAAATTCTGCACATTATTTTGTGCCGCCACATAAAATCACAATAAATCCACCAAAGTTTGCGATCGTAATTAACTTAAATGTTAAAAAGCTTTAGAGGTGCTAATACTTTTGCAAGGCTTTAAAAACCCAGCAGGTTTTATGTTTTACAAGGCCGAACTCAGCTGTATTTGATGAAAAAAAACTAAAAAACTACATCAGAGACCAAAAGTTCTGTGTCTCATCCAACATTCAAACCATGGACCACATTTATCGTAAAGGTCAGAGCTGTTACAGGAAAACTTGAGGCATCCAAAACATGACTTTGCATCCAGAAGAGAAAATTTTCACAGCTTAAAACATTTGGAAATAAAGTTTGGATGGTTTTAAAACAAAGAAAAAGAAAACCACAGATGTCATTCTGTTTCCTATATTTTTAATATTTAAATAACATAAAGGTATGTTGTTCCCAACATGGAATGAAAAAGCAAATGATCATGTATGACGCATTTCCAAAACTCCCAGGAACATTTAAAAGGAAACCAGTAATCATGAAGGCACGCTGCAACCATCTGGTTTTTTCCTAAAAGATGGAGCTTTAAAGGGAATGTCACCGAATGTGAGGAAGTTGAGTCAGAAGATGGAATGGATGGAGATTGTTTAACCATAAAAACAAACAACAACCATGAAATGGCCTCAAATTACACTTAGGTTGAAACGGAAAAAAAAAAACAGGCACTGCAAATTGGAAACAACATGGCAGAAAACACTAAATAAATGTGCAAAAAATAGCTGCATATAAATGGAGGCAACATGAGGTGGTTTGATTGTTATTATCACATTAAGATGACAATTAGTCCTACATATTATGCATGAGAAACTATAAAAAGTGCAACTCCTTAGTTTGTTTTTGACTAAGCTGATCAGCCCTATGAGGAGGAAATCACAACAAAGCAGATTATCATCTCACCTAGAACTATACAATTATCTACAGTGAATCACAGAACACTAAATAAATAAACTGGCCAAACACGTGTGACCTTGATTTGATACAGACTATAAATTAATTGCCTCAAATAAATTACAGAATATTTTAAAGCTGATTTGAGGAAAATAAAACATCTTGTGCACAGGGAGTACGTCATAAGATCCTCTGTTGTAAATAAAGCATTTTGAGAGGGTGGGATAAATAAGTATTTAACCAAGAGCTGCTAATGCAAGATTTAGATCATCTCAAACAGGGAGGATTCATGTGCACGTCCCTTTAAATATAACTTTATCTCTTATTTTCCCCATTGGGCTTCTCATTCCCCCGTGTCCCTTAGAACATTTAGTGTCTCCATCATCCAGAACCATTCCATAGGTTTCCACCCTTTGACCACATGCATGCTCTCGTCATGTATAAATACACCTCACATGCACTTTTCCTTCTTTTTCAGATGAACAGCTTTAAAATCTATCATCATTATTGTTTAGTCTCTTAATTATACACTCATAGCAACATTATTAATGAAGTTCTTCCATTTCAGCCCCCGTCCTGTTTTTATGAGCTTTTTTCCCCCCTCTTTGCAGGATTTTGAATTTGGTTGAAGTTTCCATGGCGCTCCTTTGCTGAGCAGGATGAGGTGGGATGTTGGCTGCTAGGCAGGGAGGGAGCTCTTTGAACCGGACAGACTGGGTTTGGGGTCTGGTCTGTGAGGTTTGTGCTGTGGACTGCTGCGAAGGTTGTCATCCATCTGCAACAGGAATAAGAAATTCAGTGCTTTTTCCAAACGCATAAAGAAACAGATTAGGAGCCACTACAGGGACACCTTCATATTGGAATAAGAGCACCTTCCTGTTTAAAATGTTAAAGTATTCCCTTCTAATTTGTAATACCTCATTCCTGTGTGTCGCTGCTCCTTGGTCATCCATTAATTAGCTACGCAGCAGGGTGTGGATAGCATGACTATACGTGGGATTTTCTGCATCAGTTTCAGCCATATTTTGGAAAAGAACGCACCCTTTTTTCACGCCACTTATCGGCGACATATAAAACATGCAGAAGATGGGATTTTCCCACTGCACCCAACAACTGAGTGTGGCGTTTTAGCAGTGTTTTAACTGGTTTAATAGCCAGCTATAAGCCTATAAATCTCCTGCCTCTAATGAAAGTTATACTGTCTAATGAGCTTAAAACACTCTAGGGTGTAAAATCAATCCTGCTGACTAAAGGGTTAAGTCTTATGCTCTGTTCACATCGCAGGTCTCCAATTTTTTGCTGGAATCTCTAATTTTAAGGCATGGTCGTTCAGACTGCTACTGAAATAGGCCACCATGAGACACAATCTGTGTGAATGTTCCACAGCCCCAACGTGACCTGCATCGTCACACGGCAGCATTAATGGAAGTAATAACAGATGTCGGCACGTCTGTGTTATTATAAATTGTTTAACAATGAGAGCCGACACTTTTATGATCACATCAAGATGGAGAAAGGCAAAAGAGTGCAGAAACATTTACAATGTGTTTTTACTGGAGCAGTGACTGCTGAGTATCTGAATGAATGAGTAGTCAGACATGACAACCTAATAGCGAACGTGAGCTGGGTTTAGACCGTCGTGA